TCCTAAACCCTAAACTCCTAATCCCCCCCAAAGCCCTTGACAACTTCTGAACCCCCTAAACGCCCCTAACCCTAAGCAACCGTAAGCCCTCAAACCCTGAAGCCCCAATACCTACACCCTAAATACCTAAACCTAAGCCAAGGATACATCATGCTGCGCGTCACCGAGAAGCATGACTGCGTCTGCTCCTTCGACCCCAAGCCGAAGGACCTGCGGCGCCAGCTTCGGAGAGAAAGTAATAAAGGGGCCTAAACAATTACCTATACTATTTTGGGTTTAGGGTTTAGGGGGCTAGATAATTTCTTATGTTCTTTTGGGGGTTCCATATTATAGGTACATTATAATGGGTCCCAAAACCCTACTCTAATCATAAAGGCCCCTAAATTAGACGAGCCTAGTAGCAGCAGAGTAGGTAGCCTTTAGCCTTTGTTTGCGGTACCATACTCCCTATAGTAGGTAACCTTTAACTTTTTTGGGTATACTACAATCCCTATATAGACAAGCTCAAAAGTAAACCTTTAGTTCCCATAGGATATTGGACGTTAAGGCTTCGTCGATCTAGGGGGCTTTTTAGGGTTATCGGGGTTTAGGAAAGGAGCGGGCTTTTTGTGTCTTTTTCTAGGGTTTACAGATATTTAGAGGGCTTGGGGTTTCTAAGGGTTTGGGCCTTGGGGTATTCTCGGAATTCAAGTTTTCTTGACCGGGCTGTAGAAGGTGGAGGTCGAAGGGGTGGGTTTTTCTTAAAGGATTAGGGGCTTGGGGTTTACGGTGGATGATATATATCCTATATCCTGCATTATTTCAAGGACCCTAAACTATGGGATTTGTGGTATATTCCTTAGTATGGGTAATGCAGGATTTATATTATCAACCGTAGGATTCAGGGTTCGGGGTTTAGGATTGAAGGTTCATGGCTCGTTCAGCGAAAGTGCGCGCCCTTTGAGCACGCGCACGCGCGAATCTTTAGACGCACCCGCCCCAAGAGCAGCCACTTCCAACTCGCAGGGTTTTGGAGCCCTAAACCCTAAACCCTAAACCCTAAACCCAAAACCCTAAACCGTAAACCCAAGAAAGGCCTCTAATGACTGATGGGGAACTTCGGAGACGAGTGCCATCCTTGGACGTCTTGTGTCTTGCTGTTCCCTGTTGTTACCCCGCCATGATCTCCCTCCATCGCAGCACCTGTGGCACGCCAGAAAACCCTAAACCCTAAACCCTAAACCCTAAACCCTAAACCCTAAACCCTAAACCCTAAATTCGATGTCGTTGGGGACCGCAGTCTGAACCTGTTCACCGCCTGGTCTCGGTCACAAACCAGTGCAGGTCGAAGCACAGCTCCCAGTGCTGGTTCTGGATGCCACCACCACCAAATTTTTGCAACCGTCCAGGTCATACGAAGTCTGGGGCCAAGGCTCCCAAACCCCGTGCCAACTTGTATCAAGGCCAGGCTCATCATGTAGCTGCGTGAAGAGAAGCAGGCCACGATTATTGGCATCGTCAAGATGCCCAGGTACATGCCTGCAAAGTCCGTTCCTGTCATGGCAAATACCAAGCACGTCCACGCCCTAGCATGTCGGATGCACCGCTGTCATCCAACACTTCATCCGCACCATGTGCGGAAAAGGTCTCGCTAGGATCATCGCAGCACGTATCCCCATCGGGGCCATCAAGCCAGAGATCTGATGCGTCGAAATCAACATTGGCTCCGCTCAACCCGCAGGAGCAAGGATTATCCATGGTAGGCCACACAACTGCCTCAGCCACCCTAAACCCTAAGCCCTAAACCCTAAACCCTAAACCCCTAAACCCTAACCCCTTAGCTCGGCAACGGGCAGCCACCACATCTACCAGCCTCGCCAAGCAGTGTCTTGCCGAAGATCTGCCACCAAGAAGATTTGGCTCTTCTGGGCGTGCCCTTCCCGTACATGGTCGATGAACCGGGCACTGGGGTCGCCGGCTATATGCCGCCCTTTCAGCGACGTTCGATCCGAGACCCTATGTATATGAACGTATGTATATAAGTATATGTATGTAATTCATGTATATATATATATATGCATATGTAATATGTGCGTGTTTATGCATATACACACAATCCGGACTGTAGCTTGCCTGTGGGGATAGGTCAGCCTGGAGGCCAGCCCGGTCACGCGGGTCTTGCTGACCGCCAGCCTTAAAGACACGGAAGTGGGTGTGGGGCCTAAACCCTAAACCCTAA